ATTTTAGACTCAAAGCAAAATTGAACAGAAAATGCAGAAATATTTTATGTATGCTTTGTCCCTACATGGATGCAGCCTCTCCTGTGACAATCAGCATTTCCCATGTCAATTAGCATCCCTCCAAGATCATTAATATAGCCCCATGACCAGTATCCTCCATGGCCAGCATCCCCCATGATGATCATCTCCCATGATGTTCACCTCCCTGCATGATCAGCCTCTCCCCATGATGATCGACATCTCCCCATAATCGTCCCCTCATGTTGATCATCTCCCACGATGATCAGTATCTCTCCATGATGATCAGGTTCCCCCCACCGTGAGAATCATCCCCCCATCAACATCCCCCCAGTACACTAGCACATTTGTTATATATGGCCAATCTTTATCACCCCTTCATCTCCCAAAGTGCAAGTTTATAGCACGGTTTACTTTTGGTACTGTACATCCTACCCTTGGTTTTTAAGCCTGACTTGTTTGTTAAAAGGCTTATGCACTGTGGAGCCAGGGATAAGGCATTGGCTTTTCTCTCCAAGCCTGACAGTCCCGGAGTTAGGCCAACTAGGAATTGATCTCCAGTGTCTAAAGGTGAGTGACATGGCAGGTTACTAAAACTCTGAGAGGCAGGGGCTGGATGGAAACCTATTTTATTCTAAGTTATCTTCTTTTAGAAACCTGTGGTCAGTCAGCATGGCATAAGAGTTTCCTGTACTGGTCAGTATTTAGCTTAAGATAATGTGTCTGTTCCCTTATTTATTGGCATAGTTTGCTTTGAACAGTAATTTTTAGTATAGTTAAGAGAAAGTCTGTTGTTGAATTGCAATACTTTGTTTGTGTATAATATGTATATACATATAAACATACATACATATGTCTATTTTGGAGGCATATAAATATGTTTCAAATCTTCTGCCTCTCATAAAATAGGCAAATTTTCTACCACTTGGCCACATCCTCAGAATTTATTTTATAGCACTATAAGTGAAAAAGTAAAGCTTGAAAAATATGATGCATACATTAATATATGACTTTAATGATGGAGTAGGATTAACCCAGTAGGCCTTATTTTTATATTTTTCTAAATTGTATCTTGTCTGTCACTATTTGTCTACCTTTAAATGTCTGCATATATTTACTTTCCCTTCTGTGGAGATAGTAAGATTAAATATTGATTCTGTTGTGGGCTATTTCTATCATTGGAGACATTAGCTCTATACTTTCTATTTAGTTCTAAACAAATACCCAAGATAATCAACTTACAAAGGGAAGATGTTTACTTGATTCACGGTTTTAGAGGTTCTAGTCCATGACTGGGTGGCTTTGTTGCTTTGGGCTTGTAATGAGGTGCACCTCATAATGGGAGCATATAGCAAGCCAAGAGGGAGCCAGGGCCTCCCTGTCCCTGAGTAGACCTGAAGATCTTCCCTAGGCCCTGCTCTTTAAAGCTTTTACCACCTCTAGATGGTACCATGCTGAGCCTGTCTTTTACCACTTGTGTCTTTGGGGGATAGTTAAGGCCTAAACTATAGCAAACTGCTTCTAAAATATTTCTCTTCCCAAATGGGATAAATTATTTTTTCACATTTCATCTTGAAATGCAGCAAATCTGATTATCTGAGACAATGTAGCTTAAAGAAAAACCAATAAAGGAGGAAGAGCCCAGAGAATCAAGCCAGTTCGGAGGTGGGGAAAAGAGAGAGTAAAGAGATTCAGACATGTGTACAGAAAGATGTCAATAAAATCAGAGATTGAAAATGTGGACAAAGGGGTCTGGGGCTGTAGCGCAGATGGTAGAGTACTTGCCTAACATGTACTAGGTCCTGGGTTCAGTCCTAGCACAACATAAACCAAGTGTGGTAGTATATACTGCAACCCCAGCACTTACTTGTAAGTTGGAGGCAGGAGGATCAAAAGTTCAAGGTCATCCTCACCTAGTGAGCTTGAGGCCAGTCTAGACTACATGAGACCTTGTTTTTTTTTAAAAAAAAAAAAACAACTGTAAAGGAAGTGGCAGCTGTGACTGATAAAGATACATGCCATAGTGTTAGTATCTCACTAATGTGATCAGTTGTTGGCTAAAGCAAAGGAGAGAGAGCTTCTTTTACAGGCAGTGGTCTAGTCTTATGAGTCCTGAAGAGTCTTTTGAATAAGATAGCTTGGGAAATTGACTGTAAGATGTAGAGAGGACATTAGCTAAAATTTGAAGTGACATTATAGTGCAGAAAGGCAAAGGTTACAACAGTGCTTTTTTGTTGTTTTCAAATTTTATGTGCACAGATGTTTTGCCAGCATGTATGTAGGTGCACCCTCTTATGCAATGCCCCTGGAGGCCAGAAGAAGGCATTGAATTCCTGTGGAACTGGAGTTACTGACAGTTATTAGCTGGCATGTGGGTGCTGGTAATGAAACTCAGGTCCTCCATAAGAGCAGTAAGTACTCTTACCTGCTGAGCTGCCTCTCCAGCCCTTAGTGGTGGTTTCTTGAAGTAAATGAGGTAGCTTGAGAAATGACTAGGTTTCTGATCTACCACAGCATTATAATTTGCTGTCTTACCTATGTACCTATGATCTAGTCTCATTGTACATGATATTCATAATGAGCATTGTAATTAGTACTTGTTTGAAAGCCTTGCAACATCCCAAACTTCCTTCCAGATCATTATCAAGAGATTGGATTTTTAGGACTTAGGTTCAATATAGAACACTGTTAACATTCACAGATTTGGCTATAATTTGTAGTTTATGGTAGTCTCTTGTAGAGTTCCCTGGTAATAATAGTTCCTGATGGAGGTGCATCTGATAAGGTCTTCCAAAAGAACATAACAGTGCATAAGTGACTGGGGACTGACTGCAGCATACATCTTGTTGTACTCCTACTTTAAAAATGAGCGGACTGAGGCTTGAAAGAGTAAATGGTGCTGGGTGTGGTGGCGCACGCCTTTAATCCCAGCACTCAGGAGGAGGCAGAGGTAGACAGATCTCTGTGAGATGGAGACCAGTCTTGGCTCCACAGTGAGTTCCAGGCCAACTGGGACTACAGGAAGACCCAGTCTCAAACAAAAACAAATGGTGGTCATGGTGGCCCACTCCTCTAATCCTAGCACTGTGGAGGAAAGGGCAGGAAGATCCTTTGGGTTTGCTGGCCAGGCAAGCTCCTGATTCAGTGAAAGACCCTGTCTCAAAAAGTAAGGTGGAGAAGCGATTGAGACATGATACCTGATGTTGACCTCTGGCCTCCCTGTGCATGCATCCATGTGTACTACACACACACATACACATGCACAAAGGCTTGGTTTTCCCAAATGAAAGACTTGTATACTAGTAATGGAACAGCCGGAGCTCTGCATCCACTAGCTTATATAGATTATTAGCCTGAAGGGCACAGGCTCTGGGCAACTGCATGTGTAAGGCGCTTGTTCCTTTTGGGCTTTGAGGTTTGGGCTCCCCTCTGTAAGCATAGCCTGTCTCACCTAGCATGTTCCTAGGTGATAACATGGTCTTAGGCTCTAGATTTTGACAATCCTGTTGTTGGCTCAGTTTGTTTTTTCACTTATTCCTTTGTCTAGTTCTTGGCTTTTTTCTTGCGTTTAGCTGATCCCAGAGACTTCTGTTTCATCTAGGTGTAATGATTATGTGCTTCTGAGGAAGTTCTTTTCCTGTTTATTACTGCCATCTCCCAAACCATTAGTACCCATCATTTTAGACAGTATCAGACCAGCTCTGGCAAAAGCTCTGTCACATACTGTCCTAGTTTGCTTTCTGTTGCTGTGATGAACACTGCAACCAAAACCAACTTGGGGAGGACAGGGTTTATTTCAGCTTACAGTGCAGTCCCTCACAGAGGGGAGCCAGGGTAGGAGCTCAAGCAAGAACCTGGTGACAGAAACTGAAGCACAGGCCATGGGGGAGCTGTTTACTGGCTTTCTCCCTTGGGTCAGCCTTTCTTAACCCAGGAGCACCTGCCCAGGGGTGTACCACCGAAAGTGGGTTGGGGTGCTTCCATGTCACTCAACACTCAAGAAAAATGCCTTATAGATGTGCCCACAGGCCAGTCCAAAAAAGAGAATTCTCTAGCTGAGGTTCCTTCTTCCCAGGTATGTCAAATTGACAACTGAAGCTATCCAGCACACCTACCAAACTATTCTGCTTGTCCTTTGGTCAGGGTACCTCAGAGGAATGATCATCTTGTAGCCTGGGAGGTTCACCGGCCAAAAGCTAAGTTAAATCTTTGTAAAGTAGTGGCTTCATATGTGATGCCACTGGGTCTCCTATAATTCAGTTCAACCCTGACACTACCCAGGTTTGGCACAGTCTCACAAGATTGCTCCCACTTCAGAGGCCAGTCACAATCTGAACCTCCGTGGCTTGTCTGACTGGTATAAAATCTCCCCTCCTGGGGTTCAGTGATTTTTTTAGAACAGTTCACAGAATTCAGGGGAAAGCTCTTCACTTACATTTCCCTGTTTATCATAAAGGATACAAATGTACAGGACCAGTTCCAGAAGACCCCAAGCCCAGGAGTGTCTGTTCCCACAGTGATGGGGCACATTCATTCCCTCCATGTACATAGATACATTTACCAACACAGAAGCTCTGAATCCCACTGATGAGGGTGTTTGTGGAGTTGCCATTATGTAGTTTTGTGTAGCATGACTGATTTAGTCATCAGCCATTGGTCATTTAATTCAGTCTCCCATTCTCTTCCCTAAAGATGAAGGTGGGGGGCGCAGTTAAAATTTCCAACCTGCAAAGTAACATCTGACTTCCTCTGACAACCAGAAGTGACTGGGAACTCACTTTTGGGAAGTCACCAAAAGCCACATCATTAAGCATAAAGTAAGGTACAGCTGGAAGGGGCTTCTGAATAGTAACACTGCTTCCTTAACCACTCTGGAAATTTCAGTGGTTTCAGGTATTCATATTCCATAATGCTGAAGAACAATTTTGTGTTTCTTCTTACATTGCAATAGCACATTGTGAGGACGTTTGTGTCTTTCCTAGTTGGCTTGCTGCTGTGGATCTGCCGGCTGCTCCCTCTGCTGTGACTGTTGCCCTAAGGTCCGGCAGTCGCGGACCACCCGCTTCATGTATGCACTCTACTTCATCTTGGTTGTCTTCCTCTGCTGCATGATGATGTCACCCACCGTGGCTAAGCACGTGAAGGAGCAGGTAAGTTTGTGTCTTTTCAGCTCTTCCAGTTATTGATATTTGATGAGCATGTATGAGAAGCATGTGCTTTAGAGGAAGTTTCTCAAAGCCTGTCCACTGCTTTCAGGCCAAGCAGGCAAACCATTCAACAGCTTATTCTTTATTATTATTTTATTTTATTTGTGTATGTTTGGTGTAATATGTATGTATATATGCGATCTTTGTGTGATGTGATGTGTGTGTGTGTGTGTGCGCGCTTGCACACGTGTGTGTGTGTGCGTTCACATGGAGGCTAGAGGAAAATGTCAGGTGTCCTGCTCTATCACTTTGTGCCCTATTCCCTTGAGACCAGATCTTTCATTGAACTTTGAGCTAGGCTGGTCAAAGACCAGCAAGCCCCAGTAAGTTTCACGTCTGCCCCAACAGCACCGGGGTTACAAACATTTGCAGCCATGCTCAGCTTTTTATACAAGTGCTAGAATCCAAACTCAAGTCTCCATGTATGCACTACAAGTGCTTTTACCCACTGAGCCTTCTCTCCATCTCCCAGCAGCTTGGTCCTTAGTCATGGTATGGATACAATTGGAAGCTTTTGATAGAGACTGTTGATGTCAGAGGGTTGCATGTTTGGTCTCTGCTTTGGTTATAGCTGCTTCTGGTGAAATCAGTCTTTGCTTGATACCTGTCCGCACATCTCTTTATCCTCAGGAGGGCTGCCAGTGTTTAAGTAGCAGCCTATTGTAAATAAACACTTTGACCTGATAGGAAGAATAATCCAGCTTAGTCCCATAGATATTGAGAAGTGATTCTGGGATGATTTTTAATGTTTCTGGATAGACTACTTGTAGGGTAATATCTCCAGGGCAGAGGGCAGAGTTCTAGTCATTTCTTGGGCAGTAAGTACTGAGGGAGGCCTGGAGTATGGTATTTATGGAGATACATGTGGGATCTTTGCCTTCTCCCCCACAGTAGACCTCTTGATGAGCTAGATTAGAGTGCCATGGGTAGGTTCTCATAAAAGCCCAATAAATAACACAGTTCTTCCTATCCTAGGTTCTAAACAAAGAGACTAAAAGGTCAGCGAGTAGATGCCAAACATCACATTTGTTCCTTAAAAATATCATGTGAGACAGTGCAGCTCGTATCTGCAGGGGGGTGGGCTTCCTCCCCCCGAGTCCCAGAATGAATCAGCCTCACCCACCTGGGCCTCATTGGCTTGGTGTGTAGCAGATTCCTCTATTATGGCTCAGCTGCCAAAAAAGAGAGCAGCAGTGTGCTGGTGAGGGCAGCTCTCCACCCAGGGGAAGTGGTAGAGGAAAACAGCTATTAAAGCCCATGTCCCTTTAGAAATCTAACACTCAGTCCTGCATCCTCCCAGGCAGTCAGTGACACAGCAGAGAGGAGCCAGAAGCAGGCCAATAATGGTGCCATACCCGCTCTGTGGTGATGATAGCGTCAGCAAGAGCAGCTCCTAAGCAAGCAGTACCCTCAACCTTGTGCTGAACTTAAATACACTCAGTGTTTTAAAGCCACTATTTTCTTTTCCCTCCCCTCTATGCTGGAAATGGAACCCAGGGCCTGGCACACAGTAGGTATTCACTCTACTACTGACCTACACCCCAAACCAAAAAACATTTTCTTAAAAGCACTTGATTTATTCTTATCCTTCAGTTAGAATAGGGTAATGCATTTATAATTATAGTTGTATGTTCTTGACTTTGAGTGGAAATTACTGTCAAAGCCTGTGGATCTGGATTCTCTGATTAAGGCACTGGAGTGGGAGCAATGATGTGTTCAGAGAAGTGAAGTTTGTCATTTAGAGAAAAGATGTGGAATCTTCTGAGGCCTAAAACAAAGAGGAAACTAATAGCTACCATGTGGAAAGATAGTGTAGACATTTGGAGGCAGAGAAACTAAGGACTCAGCTGTGTTGGAGGTCTATGACAGACTTTGCTCTGTATTGACATGTGTTTACCTCTTATCCCCTACTCACATTATAGTTTAACCTAGATTGTTTGAAGAAAGAAGTTTGAGAGCTAAAATGCTAAAAGGAAAGATTTTAACTCTTATTCTGAAGGTCTGCTTAATTTCCCATTTACATTTCTTCATTCATTCATTCATGCATGCATGCATTCATTTGAGCCATAGAGCCTTGTACATGCTAAGCAAGCCCTCTATCATTGAGCTATATCTGTAACCTTCCATTTGCTGCTTTAGTTTTTCCAGTAGGGTAATGCTGTCTTCTTAAATACCATTAGTAGCAGCTTGATGGTCTGCTGTGGTCCTGTGGTGAGAATTCTGTTTCCTAGCTATCTGTGGTATGATCTCTGCTCTTAAGTTTTTAGTACTGGTAGATGAAAGCCTTGGATCTCAGAGGCAAAATCTGTAACTCTGCAAATATGTGGCATCTGTGGGGTGAAACAATGTCACTGCAGGTAGAGGTAATTTAGAAGCCACAGGTACGTGTCATAAGGCATGAATTTCAAAATAATTAGACACCTTATTACTATTTGAGTAATCTGTCCTATGAAACAGGCTCTAGCACCTCCAGCCTGTATCTGTATTGATGTTGGCCAGTCTTGTTCTGGGAAGTGACTTGTATCAATATGAGTATTTTAAGAGTTAATTTTTATTGGGTAACACCACATGCCAGGTTTTCACTTGAGCATGTTACCTGTACCTTTGTCCTTCATCACAACCGTTCCTGCCCACACAGTAGACGTCATCATGATCCTGCTCTACAACAGAAGAAACAAGCAGTGCGCTGTTTACATACTTTGTCTACCATTACTTAGAGGTAGAGTTGGGATTTGAACTGGGTGTTTAGCTCAGTTACTGGGGTATGTAGGCAGAAAGGTGGAGAAAGACAGCATAAAGCTTGGTCAGGGGGACAGGGAAGAAATGGTAAGAGTCACATGACCAAAAACATTTTAGTTCTTTTTTTTTAAATTTTTTATTTTTTTTGAGACAGGGTCTCTCTTGTAGCCCCAGTGTGACCTGGAACTCACTATGTAGACCAGGCTGGCCTTGAACTCAGAGATCTGCCTGCCTCTGCCTCCCAAGTGCTGGGATTAAAGACTGCCACACCTGGCAGAAATTTTAGTTCTAAGGTAAGGTGCTTGAACATGGCCTGTGGACAAATGGGAAGGCGTTGTAGATTTGCAAGTGAAGGGACCATCTTGGGAACATGGAGAGATTGAAGGTATTGAGCCCACAGGGGTGTAGGGGGTAAGTTGGGGTAGAGAACAGATGGAGGGAGAGGAAGGGATGGGGCAGCACTGGTGCCTCTCAGGCCTGTCCTCCCAATGTACCTATTTAAAAATGGTTTGGCCAGGCTTCCTACATGGAGAATGAGGTTGCTCTGGGTGAAACCAATCTTCTTTCCCCTCACAGAGGGCTGGCCATGTGACCACAAAGTTGGCTTGTTTTGTGGGTTTAGGAGCAGGCTGACCTCATGCTCAGGCGGTGCTTGAGAGCAAGCGCTGAAAGGTCCCCTTGTGGGATAAGGCTAGGCTTCTGCTGGGTCCTCACCACTCTTTGTTGGCCTGTGGAAGTGCTTGAGGATAAGAGTAGCAGAGGAGAAAGAACTGTACACTTGTCATGGCCTGTACAGGGTGTGTCACTGCCTCCCACCCAGCATTCTTGCCTCTTCAGTAAGGCCCTGTCAGCATCACATGGCCTAGGGTGTGTGGGCTGAGAACTCCAGGGCAGTCCCTTCAGTTTCAGAATGAAGGGGGTGTGTGAGGCTCAGTGAGAGGGAACTGTGAGGAGGTGCTAAGGCAAATTCATCTAGCTTTTCACCAGGAAATCCCTCCTCTTATGAGAACCTTGGCACAGAAAAAGTTCTCCTGTGTGAGGCTTCTGCTTCGGAGAGTTTTTTTTCCCATCCAAGAACCGTAGGAGCCATTTTACTGCAGGTTGTTCTTGCCAGTCACCAATAGAGTTGAAATAAGTACTTTAAATGGACTTTAGAATGTAGAACAAGGGGAATCAGGTGAGAGTTAGGGCTCCTGACCTGCACTCAGAAATCCAGATGTATCTGCATAGTTTGATGGTAGACGATGACAATTGAAGTTTGGGTGCCCTGGAAGCTCAGTGGGCATTTGGGAGGGAGGGTAAAGGAAGGTTCTTGAATGAGTAAGGAGTCCCAGGCCTTCTTCCCAGAATGCTCCTGTGCCATGGGGAAGAGCCTTGAGCATTTCTAACCTTACATGTTTTGGGTCAGTTTTCTTCCCTGTTGTTCCTTGTCCAGCCTGTGATGCTCTGATTCACTGAGATGGCCTGACATGGTGCATTTAAAAATTTCAGAACTTGCCAGATGTAGTGGTGCATACTTTTAATCCCAGCACTCAGGAGGCAGAGGCAGGCCAATCTTTGTGAGTTCAAGGCCGGCCTGGTCTACATAATGAGTTCCAGGCCAGCTGTGGCTACAGAGAGACCCTATCTCAAAAAGACAAGACAAAACAAAACAAAACAAAAAATAAAAATCACCAGAACTAAAACATGTCATAAACTTTACATTATGAAATCATTTGTTTGATATAAGGAATGTGGAATGACTTCTGGGTTTTGTGATGTAATATGTTTATTTTAAATTTAAATGCAAAGAAGTATTCATTTTGTTCCCAGGAGAATCTATAGGATCTCTGTTGTCTTTGTCTTGTTCCTTAGTCTGGTTTAGAAGACATTATATTTTGCCTGCAATCTTGCCTCATTTCTGAAAATATATTTAATTTTGTACATTATTCCCTATATAGGATAGTTTTCCTTTGAGTGGATAGTGATACGGAAACCATACTACTTTGATTGGTTTCTCTTGCTCTAGGTGAAAAGAGCTTTTTGTTTCTTTTCAGCACAAGATGATGTCAGAGTATACAGAGGGCCTCAGAGGAACACAGGATGAAATTAAAGGGATTGTGGTGTGAGGGGCTCATGGCTCTGTGGCTCCATGGTGTCCTACAGCAGCCCTCTAGCTCTGTTCTCTCTGGCCCAGATGAAAACAGCCAGGCTGATGATGGCGC